GCAGAATAGACGAAACGAGGAAGACAACCAGCGAGAGACCACAAGGCAGCACTCCCATCAGATAACTTGCTGATAGGAGGCTGTATTTGCTAAGGCTTGCAGATCCAGCTGGCAATGTCTCAGTATGGACTAGGCATCAGGTGGCAGAGCTCACATGCCAAGGCCCCTGCCTCCTATGCGGATCGTGGCAGCCGTTCAAGCATCTCAGAAATCTTCTCCAGGCACATTACAAGGGAAGCTGAAATGGGAAGCATGCTCCAGGCCAGGATGGAACAGCACTTCAGGACTCCCCTCCCCTTTGCAAGACCTCTGAGCTGTACAGCATGAGCTGGCAGAATAGTAGCTCAGCTCCTCAAACATTAAATGCTGTTCTCCTCAAACTCTGAATCCAGATTTGGGTTAAAGGTGCAAGGCCATGAATGAGACAGCCAGCGAGGACAGTCAGCTACTTCAGTAGAAGAGCGCTTGCAGAACTCAGTCTACACTCAAATGGGGAAATAAGTGAGTTTACAGGATCCCAACACAAACAACCCAAGACCAGGGGCTAGAATTACTACGTGCTCTCTATCACCCATCCAGAGTCCCATCGGACCCGACAGAAAGCCCCTTCAGAAATCAGTCCTCCAAAATCCGTAAGACAGGAATAGCAGGAGGCAGAATCGCTCTACAAAGGACTGTCAGGCCTATAGCAAGCGGAGACAGAAACTTTCTTCTGGGACAGAGAAAACAGGACCTCGTCTGAACCCTGACATGTAAGATACCATAAAGTACTCCAGAGAATGACAGTAAGATAATTTTGCTTCAGTTAACATTTTTGCTGAATCTCTGTTCTTAATTTTATCTATTCTCTTACTGAAATCCACTCCTCAAATTGTAAATCTGTGATATCTGATGGGCTAATACGTCTTACACAGTGATACCAGCAAGAGTTTTTAACTTCACCAAGGCTTATCCAAGTCTCAGCTTGCTTGGTTTCCTCAGAATCTGGAAAAGTTTTCTAAAATTCAGTTCCCTTCTAGTGTAAATATTGCCTGGCAGTATCAGAATGGCTTTGCCAAGGGGAAGTGAGACAGACTAGAGCTCCTGGCTCTGAACCTCTGCCAAATGCATCTTAAATTAAGAACTTCCAGACTCAGTATAGTCCTGTTATTGATGAGAGTTTAAAAAGAATGTAAAGTACAATTACGTGGATCTTCTGTTTAACTGCCACACAGGTCAGGTAATCGGATACAGAGGTCTCAAATAACAGCTGAATATTAGACAATTAAAGATTGGGAGAAAAAAAAAAAAAAACAACTACGCAAAGTTACTGTGTCTTCAGTGATTCCTGTGACATAGCTGAAAACGACCCAGATTTAATTACTATCTTGGAGAATATTCTTACTACAAATGAGAAATGGAGATAAAGGAAAACATGAAGCTTTTTATGTCTAAATTCTCAACAACTTTTGAAACAAAGAATAAGGAAGCTTGGTATTTAAACTGAAACATCAGTCCTCTGAGTCAAAACGTAATGAAGAATGCAATGCTATTTATTTTACAGCAAAGGGCTGGCACTAGTAAGTAGGTAAAAATCACTGGAAAATAGGGCAAAACCAAATCACTTTTTGACTTCAAGACCTAAATGAACCACTTCTACCATCTGGTCCAACTACCCAGAGAGTCTCGTGTAGCAAAGTTTATCTTCTTTAAGCTAGTCTGTGTTAAGGTGCTGACCTTCCAATTTCATATTGTCATGTCAGGATCTAAGGAAGTGTAGTTAACAATAATTTGGAGATTGTTAAATCCCTTTTTGCAACCCAGCGACTGCAGTTTTTACTCCGTAGGAAAGCACTTTTTGGACAAGTCACCCAGGTATTGCAGCTTTAGATTAAAGGCATCCTCCTTGCTTTGAACTCTGCAGACTTCAGGGATTGCCAGAGCCAGTCTTTACTATGCTTTAAGTCAAAAAATTTGAACTTGAATCCTGAGTAAACTACCTGCACTCTGGAAGAAGCCAAAACTGATACAATACAGGGAGCAAGAAGATTAAAAGTGCTGCTGCCTGTGTTTAACCTAAGTGACTTCTTGTTTTGGAGAGGTATCTAGGCTTAAAACTATAAGGCAGCTGCATGGCTGCATGCCAGAAGGAAGTTCACAGCAAAGCTGTTTGCGCAGCATCAGCCTATTTTTAGTGTACAGCTAAGGAAAAGAGTTTCTTCCTCCCCCTGCCCCAGGCCTCTGCAATGCCCTCAACTGGCAGGCTCCTGGGAGCTGGATGCAGTCTTTGCATAAGAATACGGGGTTTTTTGACCACCAGTCTGAAAAAGGGTATTGCAGATGTGCAAGCATCCTGCCTGCCTGTCCAGGGTATAAAGTACTGACGTACTCCCAGAACATTTGAAAGGGAAGAGTGGAGAGTGCCCCACTCCGTAGGGTCCCGGTGAGTTTGTAATAATCATGCAGATGTGGGCCGCTCCACAAGAGCACGTCAGTCTCCCGTCGATGCAAGTGCTATTTTGAGCAAAAAGCTGAAAACGGAAACATATGGCTGTGAGCCCTGAGGTCAAGCTCAGGAGCTCTGCCAACGCAGCGCTTTGTACCAGAAAAGTAGTTCTCTGACTAGCTTGCAGAGGATGTAAGAGCGCTGGGAGGCATTTCAGTCTTACCCCCAGCAGCTCCAGCCTACATCCACAACAGCCCCAACCAACTTTTTCTTTAAAATCTAAAATACCAGAGATTCCATGACTTCCCTAGGCAACATATTCCAGAGCTTAACTCTTCCTACTGCCAAGGCCAACCACCCATTCTGATGTCCAAGCTGAATTACTCCTGCTGTAATTAAAATCTAATTTTCTTGTCCTATCCGCAGTGGTGAGGAAAAACTATTTCATTCGTTTCTGCAGCTACCTCTCACAGATTTGAGAATGTCTCTCCCACCTCCTTGAAATAAGTCCGGTCTTCCATCCTGTCACCCTTCTCATTGCTATTCTCTGAACTATCACCAGTCGCTGCGCATCTTCCACAAAGAACCGTGCCTACAGCTGGATATCACGTTCCACAAAAGGCGTTCTACTATCACATGAGGAAGGCAGCTCATGTTACGCATCTTGCAGGCTACATTCCTGTTTATACATTCCACAAAATTTATCCTTTTTTGCAATAACAGGATGCTGTTTAGTCATGTTCACCTGGTGAACGGCTATAACCCCAAGAGTACTTTTCTGTACCACTGCTGCCCTAGCAGTCTGTCTTGTCCTGTATTTGTTCAGCATATGATTGCTTCTACTGAAGTGCACAAATCTGCATTGAGCAAATTCTTTGCTGGATTTACTGAACTACATTCCAGCTTTTTAAAAAAAAATTTATCGAGACCATTTTGAATTGTTATTCAATTTTTTTACTCTCTTTGTATTTATCTCAAGTCTGGTGCTCCCTACAATTTAACCTGCATATCCTGTCCAAGTTGTTAATGAAAATACCAAACAACATCAGATCACAGCAGACCCCTGGAGAATCCCACTGAATAAATCCTTCCAGTCTGACTAGGAACAGTTCCTAATTACTCCAAATTAGGGTTTTCCAAACAATTTTTCCACATTCTCACCTTTAAATTGGTGTCACATAGACCGCACTCCCCTACTTTCTTATAGAAAGTCAGTCACCTGAAGTCATGTGTACTGCTTCTCCTTTGTTCAAAAAGCTTGTTACCTCATTGTAGAAGGAGCAAATTGGTTTGACACAATTTGATCTTTTTCTTTCTTCTAAAGGGTCTCAGGTAGTTTCTCTGTCCCAATATTTTCCCACTTCCACTTATTGGCCCAGAGTTCTGAACAGCAGAGTTCTGAACAGAAGGATGGAAAGCTGAGAGATTAGCTGAGCCTTTGCAGAGTTTACCACATCCCCCTCCCTTTGTCTTTAATGCTTGGAAGTAATTTACCATACAGGGTATCTGACCTAGGCATGAAGATAACCACCGTTTTGCCCACACTATGAATCTCTTACATAGGGCAGAATAAATAGAGCTTGTCTAAGTGGGGACATAAGTGCCCTGGAAGTACTTGCCACTCTGCACTAACATCACACAATACAAGGACAAAGAAAGTCCTTTCCTCCTGCCTATGGGTCCTTCCTCCATTGTTTCAAGATTTCAGTGACTTGCTATTATAGTGGAAAGTCATATCCACCAAACAGAGAAGGCTCCTCAACAATATCCTGTACTTCCTTCAAAGATCCCAGCTGACTACATTAAAAAAAAAAAAAAAAAGCATACAGCAAATGAAGTAAACATGCATCCAGTAAATATTTCCATGTCATCAAAGACCATGTGGTGGAACTGCTCCCAACGTTAACTTTGAGAATAAAAGACCGAAATTAATTTCTTCAGGGAACCTTCGCAAAGGTGGATGTGGAATCACATTATCGATAATTACACTTCATGAACAGGACCTAATCATTTGGCAACTTTTATTTGAAGATGTGTGATAATTTTTCCCACTGACTGGGAACACGACTTTGCAGGTCACAGGAAATACTTACTATCCTCATATTCGCCCATCGTGTTTCCTGACACTTAAACACACCAACAGATACCACTCTGTCACTCTAGACAGTCATATACCTAGACAAATCCCACCATTTTACAAGTGGCTTTCTGTTTTGTTGATCTCTTACACTACGTTACGTGGTTCTAACGTGCATCCTAGGTCTATCTGCTCTTCTGCAATGTAACTACATTACACTCAGCATTCCCCTTGGTATCTTAGTCTAAATTAACTCATATGTTAGAGGGCTTTGACAAGTCCTTGAACGTGAATTTGGCTACTTCTTACTATTAACCAGTGGTAAATGCAAAGCAGCTTACCCCTTACACAGAGTGAAGAAGAATACACAAATACGCAGTTTGCACTGAGTAACTGGCATACTGTAAATACGCATGCTCACTTCTCTCCTGGTAAAATTTTCATGGGCCTGTTAACTCAATAGGATATACTTTCAGAAAAAGAACAGATATGCAAATATGAAATTCATAACTCATTTATTGAATATATATATATATATGCAAGGATACCAATAAAAAGAAACTAATACTGCAAACTACAACTTTGGAAGTAAAGCCAATATAACAGGAACAAAATATACATAACATTGTAGATAGGAATGCATTTACCCTCTTTCATACATTCCTTGTCTTTACACCTAATGTAAATGTATGCTAGAGCAAAAGCTGCAGATGTTAGCCTAACCTGAGTGCTTTTTGACAAGCTACAGTTCTCCAGGATCCTTTAAGGGTTGAGATGTCACTGCTGACTAATGAATGTGCATATATATGCATATATAGAAACTGCTTCAACATTTATACATAAATTAAGAGCTGTGTTCGGTTTTTTAACCTCCACTGCTAATGTAGTTCTGTTTCTGGTGACTTGGAAGAAGAGTTACTATTTGCTATAATGTACTTTCAGTTCTCTTTTAAGATTAGTTTCATTTAATGGGGATTAATTTTATTGTCAATCTGATTCTGCATATTAATCTTTTTTGGAATGCACTGATTATCACCTGCCAGATAAGTTTGATATTTCAAAGCGCTATCACTCCATCTTCTGCTCTAGTTTAGCATAAAGTTATTCTCCATGCAGGCAGCAATAAGAAGCAAGCTCTACTCCTTTATATCACATTTCTTGTCTACTAAAAGCAGAAATTAATTCAGGGCCAGATTCAGTAAAATCATACCTTCCTATATCAGCACAGCTCTTTGCACCTGAAGATCAGACTTTGCGGAGTGTAGGTGATGGACTTATTGCTGCCCTCCAGGAGTTAACCTCCTGATGTAACTCCTACTAGAGCCTTATCACAGAAGCTCCTGTGGATCAACACCTGCCGAATGAGTAGACCTTTTGGACACCTTATCTATTGAACTGCACCTTTTATGCTTCTGTGAAACGGAGTGATAGCATAGCTTACTGCTACGTTGTTTAATCCTGCCTTTGGACTCTGGCACAACACCAGCTGGACCCTCATGTAACTTGAGCTATACCCTTCTGATGGCTGTCCTTCCTTGGTACAGTCCTTTCTTGGTATAGCACAATCGCAGATCTGTTAATACAGAGACACAGTGAGTTGGGGAGAGATCTCCATTATCAGAGGGTTCCAGGAGTCTTTAAACAAGACACACTACACTACTCTGGTGGACCCAAAAAACCCAAAAACCTCAAAGGCTTAAAAAAAAAAAAATTATCAAGTGAAATCAGTTTCACATGACAAGTTCTCTTAAAAATCAAGATAGTTTTCTGATTGTGAGATGAAAGCAGAAGGTGCCTATTAAAAAAAATCCCAGGAACAAACAGACTGTATTAATTTAACTAGCTAATTTAAACATACCTATTTCACCTATTGAGCACTTTCATTACTTCTAACATTTCTGGGAAGGCAGTAGATGCTCCAGAATAATCTTCAATATATGCTTGCAAAGATTACACTGCTTAAGAAACAAACAAACCAACCAAAAAACCAAAAAAAAAAAAAAAATCAGACAGACTGTCTGAAATTCCAAGCTAAAATATGCATAAAAAGACAGCAATGGCAGTATTTTGTCTTTAAAAAATTATGTAAATGTTGTATACCTATCATACATTGTCATGCTTTTTAAAACTACAATTAAGGACATAAGAGATGTACAGTAAATACACTGCTGAGGTACATTTCTTCTAAATATTAACACCACAACAGAATTACTCCCCAGCAGGTGATGCTACTTGGGAACATATAAATACAATTTTTACATTGTAAGGCACTTTTACCCAGCATACATGACAAGCTGAAGTCAGTTATGACCAATTTGAAGCTCATAACAAAAAGACTTTTGCTTTTGACTTTCAGTTCCCATTAATTAGTGACAATTTAGTCAGGCCATACCAGCACAAAGAGGTAACAGGTAACCAGCCACTTAGTCTTCTGCTACCCAAAAGTAAAGTGCTGTTCTGGTTTTTAGTGGCATGGAATGGCGTACATTATTTCACATCAGATGAATTAGACTGAATAACATATTAAGCAACTGACAATATGATTTAGAGCTCAGTCTCAAATACAATTAGTATGCTGGCAGATCTATCCCATGTATCTGTCATCCAATCTTAGTTAAAAATACAGTAGCTGCAAAGAAAGTGCCTTTATTCCATGGGAGAGCCATGTCTGAGGCACAAAACCTAGAAGCAATTTCAACACTGAAGGATGTTATTTTGCATTCTAAAACTGTTCTGAGTGGCTGAAAATGTTCATATTCTAGAAGAAATAAACACCTTGATAGACAATTTCAATAATCGATCTGTCATTGCAATTCAAGTCACGCTTTTAATTTTGAAAGTTACAAATACAAAATAAAAATGATCAATGGCATCATGTTTAGAGCAGTAACTGAATATTTTCTGTACACAGCAATATTTCTTTCCAAAACTGCATTATTCCCCAGGAAAGCAAACAGATTGAATTCTAACAATTAAAATGTTAGAAACTCTATAATATACAGTAATTGAGTCCCTCAAGACATTAAGGGAATGCATAAGAAGACAACGACACACGTTAAATCTTTTAAAAATACAAGTAAAAAACGCTACAGAAACTCATGTTACAAGTGAACTGTTTTTGCAATACCAATCACAGAAGAACTGTAGCAGATTATAGTCAAATCACTGCATTTTGCTTGTTTCCTTCCTTCAAATCTAGAAGTTTTGTTGGGAGTTCAGAGTTAAACAAGTCAAAACCCTAAACAGTGTGATGCGATAGCAACAGATAAACTTGTGGATCAGGTTCAGTTTTTTGGTTTTATGTAAGGTAAGTCTGAGAACGTGCTTTAACAGACCAATTGAGAAGCTAGTAGCCATTAGAAACGCCAAGGTGTTCTGAAAGCAGTCAGAGGACTGATCTGTTAGGTTTGGTATAACCTAGATTTGATTATTCCCTAGTGGAACATCAAACTCTAGCAAGTAGAATTCCATGACATGATTGCTGACTTGACAGAAAGAAAAAAAAAAAAAAAAAGTCACGAAAACAATAAGGATGATAAGCAAAGTTTCTCATATAGTGGTCATAAGATTAAAAAATAAATACCAATCTAGGAAAAAAGGCTGTTTCCTCATTCTTCTTACAGAATATGGGACCTCTCTGCATATTCTGGACAAAACATGAAGTGTTCCACACAACACAGAACACTTGAGGTATGGACGTCAGATATGGTGGCTAAATTCCATAGCGAGTTAACGTTGTAACTCTGAAGTAAGAGAGATTGGGTTGCAGAGTCCAAAGGTTTGTATAATAAGTTTGTAATCACACTTAGTGAAGTGTTCTTGGTAAATCAGGGACGCAGAAAGAGGTGGGTTGTCAGGGAAAGAATGAACTACAGCCCTTTGGCATGAGTTCTACAGCTCACAGCTCAGAACCAACAGCTGCTCAAGTAAATCTCCCGCAAACAATGCTGGGCGGAATGAGCAATCACAACAGGAACAACCTGAAATGTTCAAGCGTGCTTCGGTGCACACTGAGTCCTTTTCTACTGTGTGCTTTGCAAGCAAAAACAGAGAGCGGCTTTCCCATGTATAGCCTCCATAGCTTGTATATGAAGAAAACGTAAAATTCACAAAGTACCGGCTTGTTGCCACCATGAACTTGTCCATGATGTTAATTAAACTAGCTAAGACCTTCCCTCGTTGCATGAATCCACTAAACAACTTACACATTCCAAATCTTAAGGTTTTTATTAGGTCCAGAAATATAGATCTTACTTCATTTCAATGTCTGCCTTAACTTTTGACACTGTACATATTACATATCATTTATATAGTGTTTCATTTTTTCCAGACACTGCAGACTACAAACTACATAATATTGACATGTAAAACTCTGCCACTTACTGAAGGCTCACACACATGAACGTTTCAGGCAGTTCAATGAAACTTCTAACAGAGTTGGGTAGTAAAAAGTTACTAACCCTTTTCTGATTTTAGAAAACAATTTAAAAGAATTAGTAGTTATGATGTCTTAGCCATTCCCAGTTCTATAACTCTGTCCCTTGAACCTGTTTAAAAAATGATGAAAACAATAGTAAATTTAAAATCATACAGAAAAGCATTTAGCAGCTCTGACATTACATCTATATTTAGCAATAGAAATGAGGGCCTCCATTTTTAAACTGTTACAAAGTCAGCTGGATTTTAAAAACAACAAATCCTCCCCATTTTTCTACAGTATGCCAATAAAAAGTACTTAATTGCATACGCTAGATTTAAATACTTTACTGCAATAAACTACATTAAATGCATATTGCGTTTCAGTCTCAGTAACAGATCTGTCAGGAGTAACTTCCATACCTAGTTTCCATTGAGCTGCTGCTGAGGAATGTCATTATGGTCAGTGCCTGATTTTCCACGGCTTTTGCTTTCTCTTTCTTCATCCTCTTCATCTCTTTCATCATTTCCACTATGGTTTTTACAATAGAGTCTAAATCAACAAAAGAAAAAGTGAGGATTTTTACTGAAAATATCTTCAAAACAAACTTTCTTCTCAATTAATTTTGTGGTGTTCTAAAGGTCAATTTGTAACTCTTAACTCATTCACGGTTTTTAGTCAAACATCAGTTAAAATGAGAAAGAAAACAAGGTTCAAGTAAAGACTAGCCAGAAGAACATCAAAGCTGCTAATTCCAGTTTTCAAGAACTGCTGGGACACCGCTCAGAGAATGCCCTCTTGCGGGCACACCACCACTGGCAACGTCAGCTGCAGCCAGGCCACTAACAGAGGGCAGCAGCTGAACAAGCAGGTAGTGGAGAGTTCTGGAGTCCAAAGGAACCAAAAACAAGCTACAAAATGCAACTCTATGGAGGAACCATAATGTAGATTATGGGGGGGTCTGAGCAACGCAAATTATAGATTAACCAAGGGGGGGGAAAATATAATTCAATATTACTACCTGACTACTACAGAAATTTGAAGTTAGCAGAGTATGAATTATTCTGCAGGGTCAACAGTTATCTTAAAATATCATTTTAACTGGAATAATATATATTTCTTTATAATACACTTGACTAGTGGGAAGAAGTTCTTCAAGTTGGGAAGAAAAATTGTCAGGGCGGAGTCAAGAATTACAAAGGTCCTTACTTATAAATTCCTCGTGACATATTCTCAATGTATTTAGCTTTGTCTTCTACTCCACAGTGGTAATGGTATGTTTTGATGCAGGCTTTAATTTCACACCCAATAGTAGCACCAGGCTGGCTGCAAAGTGTGCATTTCTGTTATAGGAAAGAGGAGAATTGCATGGTTCAGCCTTTCAATCTCTTGTCTCTTAATATTCAGTTCGATATTAATCATGTTTATGGTTACCTTTTTGGAACACAACTTATTAAAGGCATTGTAAAACAGACACCATATAATACTAATCTATTAAAGAACAAAGACTAGGATTTACATGTCCATCACATCAAAAATAGCTACATGATTGCACATATCATCACATTTCAAAGCAATATTTTATTGCTTCTACAGTTAGTATTTTCACATACTAAGAATCCTAGATTTTTTTTTTTTCCAGGGAACTGTATCATTAAGCGTTTATTTTTAGTTCCTTAAATTTCCCATCACTTAAAAAAACCCTTGAATTTTAATGAAATATAGCGTGCCCATCTCTGGGGGCCTCATATACTTTTTCATATTAAAACGTCAAAGCACTTTGAAACAAGTTATTTGCAGAAAAGTATTCTCTAAGTCTGTTTCTGGTTTTACGCAGTATGATTTTCGTAACACAGGATACAAAGCTGTTATTCTCTTATATGAGGGCTAATAACCATTTACAATATGTAGTGTCATAAAAAAAAAACACCCTAAATATCACATGCCCAACCATCACTAATTTTTAAGATGATTCCTGTCTGGCTACCTCTTTCAAAATTAACAATATATTCACATTTTGTGTTAAGAAACAGATGAAAAGGATTGGTTCACAAAAGAAAAGCAGGCAGGCAGAACTGTAAGTATCTCAGCAGAATTAATAACATGTTCATCACACACTGCAGATACATACCATTCTTTTTCCTCTCTTGATTTCTTGAAGTACAGTTTTAATATCAAAATCACCAAACTCTGCTCTTGATGTTGTTGTTAGCTGGACAGTGCCAGAAGAGAATAACTGTAAAGCAAGGAAGTCCAAAATAGTTTCAGAAGGTCACCAACATGTGATTACAAAAAGCTTTACGTGCAGAAGTCACAGAAGGGGATGTTCAGTACTCAGTTATCTCAGACAGTTATCTCAGACTTTTACCAGTAAACTAGGAAAAAAAATCCACGCCAACAGAGTAGATTAGTGTGATGAATATTCCTTCGGATACTCACCTGACTAGCTTAATTACACCCGTTGCCTTGGAGAGATGCGTTTTAAAAGACAAAGCAGTAGACAAAAATGACTACAATGATAAATATACCAAGTAATAAATGAGTAATGTCATGAATTATGCCACTGAACTTCTCGAGTCTATCGCATTTCCTTCCCTGTGCCAGATATATAATTCAAGTTTCATGGAACAGCCCCTACCAACATTCCTAAAGAGCCCACAGACATGACAATGGAGCACGTAAGTATTATCACTGTCATCAGCATCCTTGTATACTAAGCTTAATCTGTATTAGAACTGACGCTCAGGCACACAAAACGGCTAAGGACACTCCAAGGCTCCCCGGCTGCTAGCACACAAGCTCTCTGTGTAGTGAGGCTCGCTATAGGAAGACGCTTATATTAACATTCCACAGATGGCCAGGACCGCTTGCTTATTTTGAGGTACAAGAGAAACTACCGAGTTTGTTCCTGAAAGCTCCGTCTCATTCACAGAACTAACGATGACAGCACTATCTACTCACAGTCATTGAAATCTGCAAATTTTGTCAAGCTAACAGTTCTCTAAATGTGACCATCTAAAGGCAAAGTGTTTCCAGAACTTCCATTTCCTACACTCTACTTGACTGCCACAGGCCTGAACTCACTGGTCAGAAAACTGATGAAGCTCATCGATTCCTCCTGGATTCTGTCCGAATGCCTATGGAGTAAAGATATTAGTATTTCATTTTTGGAGTGGATTGTTTTAGTTTGTGTTTTCCTTTTAAAATATTGTGTATGCATTTAGGTGCTAAGGGAGCATTTTTAATAAGCTAAAGAGTCTCTCTGAACTAATTCCATCTCTTAGCACGTAGTCAACTTTCATCCATATTGCCTGCAATGAAAATAAATGAATTGCTCACTTCACAACACTTCAGCACTAAAAGAGATCATCAGCACACAGACTATATTAATGCATAATTACATGTGAGGGTACTGTATTAAAATCTAAAGAAGCAATTCAGAGAAAATTCACATAATAGAATGATTAACAACAATACTGTTACTCACCATGCACTTATAGTGTGCTGCAGCCTTTTTGGCATTAAATATATGAAGCTTTCCTCTAGCTTCATTTTCTTCTTCACCTGCATGACAGAATCCACATTTAGGTTTTGTATCACTGGGGCTGCTTCTGTGGGGAGACCTGTCTCTCTGAAAGAAAAACATTTTACTAAAATATACTGCTGGGTTACAAATAAGGCTGTAATTTTAAAAGCCTGTGGCCACCAGCTGGAGGCTCAGACAAATATAAAAGTCAATAACAATCTTAATCACAGAAAAGATATATGCAATTCTTTCTTCTAAGAAGTTTAGCATATTTACTGCTTACATAGGAACTGCTTTCTATTTCGTCTGTGCCATGTGAAGACGTGGATCTAGTGTCTTCTGATTGCCCTTTTAAATTTGTTTTTCTTGGCTTTCCCTTACGACCCCTCCTTTTTCCTTTGGGAGGTGAAGGCTCCAACTCATGTTCATTGATACTTTCTTCTAAATCTGCTTTAAAGTTAGAAAACATCATCACATAACATTCTCAAAAACGTTGCACAAAACAAAAGCAAGAAAACGGACAAGAAAAAACCCTCTATTTTCTGTATTTTGCTCAGAAATAAAAATAGTATTTTTTTCCATTTATTACAAACATGCAACTGCAGATCCTGCAAACATTATTTACCGCTTTTATTTACATATTGCACAGTTTTGCATCTTAATAATATAAACTATACACAATAGGTTTAACATCTCTTACAACAACTTCTTGCAGTGCCAAAATGCGCCCTCAGATATATATTCACCTCCACTGGAAATGTCTCTTATTTAAACTACACTGAAACAACAAAAAAAGTCTTCTACAATGAGAAGAGCTTCTACTTTTGATGTTATGCCAGTGTTTCTAAACAATTCCTCTCTCCTTGCTTTATTAACCGATGTCTTTTGACGTACGAAAAAGATGCACTCATCTTGGCTATAACATTGACATCAAGTTTTAAAACTTAAATGTATTTTGCCTTTATTAAACAAATCTACAATTTCATTATAGTGACAATATATTTTTACATCTACAGCTAAAGACAGCAGTCAGTTTACCAAAAAAGCATCCTTTTTTGACATTGACAATATCACAGATAAAAGGCCTAAAAGTATTCATAGCCCATTATGAATATAGGTATGTATATTTTTTTAAATGCAGATATACCAAATAGGTCTGACAAATTCCTTTGAAAATGCCAGCCCAATTGCTGAATTGCTACATAGTGCTGTAGTCCAGTATTCTAGTCTGTCCTTTTGATTACTCAAAACTACACAGTTAATACCGATCAGCTCTGCAAACTTCTCAAGGTTGCTTCCACTACGATCCAATGAATTTACATTCAATACTGAATAACCAGCTCTGCTGCATTCAGTTGCTAACAACCAGTTGCTAACAACTTTCCTTATCATCAACTGCTCACAGGAATAGTCTTTTTCTTCTTTTAGCATGTTAAAAAAAACACCCCAAAACTGTAAAGATATGCCAGTGGACCTGGTTAAGGGAACACACACATACACTGCCAGAGAAATTACTTCTCAAAATCCAAACCACAAACACCAACAAGAGCCCCAAAATGGATGGATATACTAATCCAAAGATCTGGACCACCTACTTCACACATTAATGGGCCATTTAACAGTTGTATTATTATTATCATTATTACTACTAAAGCCTTATTGGGGCACTTATCACCATGATATCTTGGTCTCAATACCCAGAGAGGACATCTTGTTTTGAGACTAAAGCTGCCTCACTGAAAATTATTCTCTTTTGATTATCTATAGTATTACATAAAAATCAAATCACATTTATTCTAACCTCAGGATCAACAGTGAATCAACTGCACAAAAGTAAAAATCACAGCCTTGAAAACATTCCACTGCCATCAACTTTTAGTAGAAGATAACTGAACCACTGGCTGGAAGCCTTGGCATACAAGTGTATCCTATTAAGCTTAGTCTACCATATCTGTCGGTAAACCCTGAAATAACTACAGCTTCTTGCATATTTATTATTGAAGGAGAGCAAACTAATCAAAATGCATCACAACAGGTTGTACTGAAATACAATTCCCAAAAAGCATTACCAGTTGTATGGTTAGAAAGAGGCAAACATTTGAGAAACTAAAATTCATACAAATCTGCAAATTATTTTGGGTTTATACTACCAAATTAATCAGCCACAGACACATTTTCTCAAGTCTCTACCAAAATACAGAAGTCCATCTAGCACAACATTACTAGGCTCCCATAGATATACACCATTGTTTCCTAATCAGATGACAGCAGCACCATCATTTATCTTACTCTAAAGAAAGAAAACGCACAATGACAATTTCTCATAATTTATCTAACCTAATTTTTTTTTTATTTAGCATAACTTGCTAAATTCCCCAAGGTGACATACTTTAGGTATCATACCTCTCAGATCATATATAGCAAATTTTAACATAGCTTGAAAAGGTCTTTCAAATAAAATAATTCTATTTCATCTTGTCCCACATCATATACATGAGCTTTTCACTAATGTATTAAAAACCTTTCAATCTCTGTCTCGACTTTTACATTTACAGAAATCATAGCTGGCTCGTGCAGTTTTTTTTTTTTTTTAAATGACTATTAAATTGGTGACCCTTTAAATAACATCAGGATGTGAGAAGTTGAAAACGTTCCTTCCAAAACCATTCCATGGATTTGCCTGCTATATTTAATGAAGCATACTGTGGTCCATTCACCTACATACCTTATTTTTTTTCCTTACAGTTCCTCATCAATTCTGCCAATTCTGTTTTCACTTTAGTCCACCCTTATTTTCTAAGCAACATTAAAGCATATCCTGAACTTTCTGCAGCCACCCTTTAAGGTGAAAATAAATCATAATTGCAAAAAACCAACATGTCATGAACGCCAATTTTGCATAAGTGTCACAGCCTCCTTACAGAGTAAGTTCTTAAGTGCTATTTTTTCCCCTATAACTGTTAAGAGTATTTAAGATCTGAAAAGTAAATAGACTACATTTGTTAAAGACAGTTCCAGCGTAAGATAAAAAAGCATCAAGATTACAGAGTTTTCCTCAAAGGAAGACCCCTTCTCTGTCCTCAAAACTAGTACTTCCAAAAGAAGTTCAGAGTTACTGAAATCTAGATGCTACATCACCCTTTCATTAAAGCAAATGAAATTCCTTGCAAATTTAGGTCTTCATACTGCAAGTGACATGGACCTGCAGATGAACACCACTGAGATGTGAGGATCTGCACTACCACACCTGTCTGCAAGATCGACACCTCAAAACATTAAAGTTTCTCTCTTTTTTAACAGTACTGTGAACTAGTGTAACAGTACAGGAAGAAAGAGATTGCAATCAGGTTTAAAACACACCTGCCTTGGGTGGTCTTTACTATTTAATATACAACTTGGTTTGTGCCCTATCCCTCCCCTCAAGCCCACTGCCAAGCTTACCCTGTGTCCCTGGCATCTGATGGTTGAGTGTTTCCAACTTCTCATGTCAGCTTGAACTAAGGAAAACACAAAAAGTTGTTCAACTCCTCCCTGACCAGATGAAGTTTTATCATGGATACCACCCATACTCTGAATCCCCTGAGATTTCCTAAATATTCTTCACTTGCCCCCCTTCCCATATCCCATTTACTGCATTGGCTTTTAAAATCATCACAATATTCTCAATATACCTTGATCTAAACTCTTCAAAGGAGGTATCTTACGAGCTTTCTTCAAAAGTGCCTGAACGCTGCATCTCAAAAAGCAAGCTTAATATGCAATACACTCTTGGAAGGTGTGGGGGGCAAATCAAGAGGAGACATTGTACATTTTCAAAAGCACCTAGGAACATGATACAGTAAATCAGATGAGCAGAAAGATGAACAACAAGCCCCACGTTTGCATTTGAGAAATCTATGAGCAGTACAAAGTACCACACAAAAAGATGATGAGCAACATTTTGAATTATATAAACTGTTAACAGGGAGAGGGAAACCCCAGCTTCAGAGAGAAATCTAAAAATTCTCCTTCGATCGTCACTAGAAGGAAAAAGGATCTCAAGATCTTTTACTGCTTAAAATAAGGATTGGCACAGAAGAGGTTGAGGTATCACCAATCTATTCTTTATTGCATCAGCTTCAAACACACATGGAATCAGCCTTTTCCAAAACCTAAGTTAAAGCAAAGTAGCGCAAAGAATTAAGTGATTTAAAGGTAGTGAAACAACAAATAAAAAGAGGATGTGTAAAACAAAGGCTTATACTGCATTATATATATATCTACCTCCTGCATTACCTTAAACAGAGGAGTAAGTGAGCCAGAAGCAAAGGGGCTTAAGTCTGTATGAGGAAGATAATAACCAAAACTGACTGTTAAAATACACTTGCAAGTAGGACTAAACACAAAAAGAAGCCAAAACGTAGAAGTGGCTTAGACCTGTTACTACGTAAATCTAAAAGAACACATAGGTTTTAAAAGTTTTTACAGTGCCATTTGGGATAAAAGAGAATCTCTGAAAATTAGAAAGAACAAAATCAACTTTACTAGAATTTTAGAAGAGAAATGGAATTTAACAGAGAAAGAAAAAAAGTTCTTCATCATGTTAAAGATGTCCTTAAAATATGACTGAAAAATAATGAACCACCTATGGCAACATGATTAGTTTAAATTGAAAAGAAATGCCATAAAACCTAAAAACCTTACTGCTCTGGTAGTCCATAATGAAAACGTGAATGCATTGATAAGCAGTAACAAGAATCAAAGATTTGCATAAAAATAGTTGCAAACAAATACAGAATCGGGTAAACAGATCATGAAATAGTAGTAGCTTACATCAGAAAGCTATGTGAAATTAAAGATCAAAATTCTGAATGCAGTATTTAGATTTTGAAAAATACTAAGTTACAAGAAACATATCTAAAACAGAGAACGTAAGAGTGGAGTGTAAAAATCACCGACTAGGTCCAGTTACGAATACATTTTCAAAAGTCCCAGACATCTCAAGAAACTGATGTGAAACCTTGTACGAAAGCTATTTTTGACTGAATAGTATCTATAGTAAGAAGTACTTGAGATTATTTCTTCAGTTAAGTACACTTAACACAGAAAATGAATAAAACAGTCCTTCATAATCGTACAATCTAAGCGCTATTTAAAGCAAATGATTCCCCTCAGTCTTTGCCAACAATTAATACATTTAGTTTATCTGCATAATCGGAGAGCTTATGATTAGCGGTCTGATAAGTCTTTTGACTTAGCTGACCATGTTACTATTTGGGTAACGTCTTGCCTAGGCAGGAAGCAGAATTATAATTTAAAACACCACAGGGCAGCTCCTCAGATAGTATAAACCACTGACCACGTTAGTTTTAGATTTCTTTTCCTTTAGCTGCACGTTTTTCCTTAGGAAAACACCATTGTGATTTTTCCTCAAAATACCCGTTTAGTCTATAATGGACTGGATACAAGGTTACTAACTTATCGACTGGGGCAACTGTTTTTGTCATAACCCTGTGTCTGATGCCGTATTCAGAGCAGCGTTCTCTAGAAGATAGGCAACAAGAAGGCTCTGAGTTAGTGGGACCTAGAAAGTTTGCAGCCATCCACCAGCAGAAGTCAAATGACAGAACTGCAACGTCCCAGAAACTTTGACACCTGACTGCATTAGTGCGTACAACATCAGGCAAACCTATGATGAGAACGGTGTTACAGAAAATACACCTATGAAGAAACACTGGTTAAAGCATCCTAAGATGAATCAGGATGTTGCCTAATCATAATGCCAATGTATTTTGGATGTTTTTCCTGCCAATCTCTGGCTTAAACAGAGCTTTGAAAAAGTAATTGGTTTGATACAGATTGCAGCATCTCTAAATAGGTCTTCCAGAGAAATGTTATCCTGACTCAACTTACTGAGCAATATGAGAAGCATAAGTTTCATGTTTGCTCTGAAGAATAAGATAAAAAGGATGCTGAGACAGGGAACATTCTTATTTCCATTATGGAAAGACAGTTCCCTGGGGCTTTAAGTACAACTACAACAGGAATTATGGATGTTCTGACCCCACAGTTTCCCGAGCATCTGTTTTAAACATTAACAACAGATATAGTCATACATAATATTACTATGTAACAGATGTAACAGAACAATAAGATGCCATATTCTTATCTTAGCTTATATTAGACTATTCCTGATCACTTCAATTAGTTGTAAACACAGAAAGGACAGGGCAGTCCCGCCTGCAAGGAATTGAAGGATACCAAAAATTAAATTTTTGCAACAATTATATCCAATCCATTGGAGTAAATTCTAATAAATAGTTCCGAAACCTTAGTTCAACAATACTCTACCCTTCAAAAAGAATACATGCAATTGTACCAAACAGAACAGTAGTTCAACTAGTAGAAAGCAGTGGTAGTCTCAAGGCCACTAGCACCAATTCCTGTAACCTGTCAGGTATTAAAAAACGTAGAGGGCTTGCTTAGATTATGAATTAAACTATTACATCAATTTCAGGTCAGATTATTTTCAGTTAGCTTTGTAAGCAGCAAAGCAAAAATCTAGACAACAAACTTTCAACAACTCAGTCTGCTCCTCTGAAAAGGTGTATTCAAACCTACAGCCTAGCACAGTGTTAGAGCACCTCACTTTCACCGTTCTTCTTCTAGTTAGTGGGAACACAAGACATTGAAATTAGTCTGAAATATATATATACACAAAGCAAAAAACAGGAGAAATACAATTCCCTCAATTCCCTTTGATATTCTATGGCACCTGAAAGCTAGGCCATACAGATAAACTAGAAAAAGCTGACTACCTGCTGAAACAGAGAATGAATCTAAGAGCTGACTACTACGCCATAAAGTTTCATATTTTCATATACCAAGAAAACAGGCGTAATTCAGCAACTCCTGTCAATTAAACGGACATGAACTCCTATCACTGATTAGTTTTGTCTTGGTGAGTAGGGAGATACTCAGCCTGATGCACTTTCTCCACTTGAACTTCACGAGAGCAACAACATTTAAGAGGTCCTTTTTATTAGGTTTTAATGGGGTAACTCATTCCAACATAGGTCCTTCAACCAATTCTCTGTGCAGCTTCAGGAAATTTGCCTCACCATTTATTAAACGGTTAATAGAGTTTTGTTAGAAGTTCTAGTTAACGAAACAAAAGGTACACTAGCCAGATCTCAGATGTGAAGAAGGATGTAAAAAAAGTACCTGTTTTCTAGGGAAGGGAAGGGGAAAAACAAAAACCAGACACCCCAAACCAGTACTGTCAACAGAAAACAAACTGTTCTAGACTGCACCAAACCACCCACACTTCCAAATTCTTCCACCATCCACTAACAGAAGTGAGATAATAAAAATATTTGGACTGCAACAATTAAATTCAGATACAGAGAACAAAAGATAAAAATACTAAAAATAGTTCCAAACTGACCAAAAAAACCCCCAGCATCCCAGAGCAGGGGCAGTAAGTTTCCTTCAAAAAGGGCTGACAATTCTAGTACCTCTGATCTACACTGAGTGACAAAATCACCGGTTAGCTTTAACTATTTTAGCACAAAAAACACTGCTGAGAGCAAGAATCCATGAAAACCCAAAAACAAAAAAGAGAAAAAAAAAAAAGCTGCTGTGTTAGCATCTAGTAGCCCCGGCTAGTCTGTTCACTCTTTTCTGCAAGTCTTTTCTGGTTTCATACACTAACATCCTTTCACACTTATATTCCTCTTTGATACTCACATTTTCCACAAGAAATAAGCCAATAAAACGCATACAGAATACCTTTCTGACCAATCTTACTATCGCACATCTTCCTGTTACCATTTCATTAACTAAATTAAACCTAGTTTAGCATTTAAATATTAGGGAACAAGCCCTCCAAAGTCCCTTCTTAAGCTCTGAAAACCATCCTGTATCTTCTCCTTTATAGACATAATTTCTATCTTCCAAAGGTAATTAATTTTCAATGTAGCCAAACGTCATTGCTATACAATGTTATTAAGTCATTTCCACAGGAGAGAAAAAAATACGTACTTTTACATTTTTTGTTAATAGAACGGAAGTCTAACATAAAAGAGCCCCAGCATCGGGCATTACCAAATCCGTAACTGTAAGTTACGGATTTATTCTATGGATATAGTATAGTAAGTTCCCTAAACTGTATGGACTAAAAAGAAGAACACATTATTTGGGAAAGAGCATTGGGTTAAAATCTCAGGCAAAAATTAACCAAAAACAGAAAACTGAAAATTAAAGTATAACTGCACAGATTTATAAAAATGTAAAAGGTCATAGAACTAAATATTTTAAATAACATTAAGCGTAAAATTAAATATTAAATAAGATACTATTTGGTTCTTTGGCCTCTGTTTTTTGGCTGATATTATTTCTTCCTTCTCTTCTTCCCCTTAGTCTGAGAGTCTCTTTGAATGACTCTGGTTTATTGTTTAAAAACAATTGTCATCAGTGACTTTTAGGAAAGAAGCCACTGTGCTTTTGTAATGATTTTTCCCCATGTCCTTTCAGACAGATGTCACATAAATTTTAAAAGGCCTCTGTTATTAGAGAATGATGTTGTAGAATTGGTAGTAATGTTGCTGAAAACTCTTAAAGAAAAGTAAAGCTCAGCCCCTGCAAGGAAGTCTATGCAGAAACAGAAGTCTATCGGCATTGAGCTCCATACAGAATTAGAGGCATTTTTCCAGTAGACATCAAACACCGCAAGCCATTTGTGAAAATGATATTATGCCTAAATAAGAGTTAAAGAGCTTACACCTCTTTCTCTGGGCTCAGGTATCCTTCCATATTCTGTTTCTGCTTACAAGGAAAACAAAACCAAAAACGAAGAAACAAAGTCCCAAACTACAAGATAATGTGGCCCTATTTTACTCTTTGAAGAATTAATATAACATCTGTACTGCTTTGCTTGTTTAAACCTAGTGATAGCAAAATCAGAACAGAGACTGTTTTACACAAAGCATGCCATGGTATTTAAGTATAACTAAATAGATTAAAAACAAAAAACAAAACAACCACCATTTTCACTTGGTATTTTCTACTACCTTTATCTCTTTTTGAACATTGAAGTAAAAGCCAAACCTTACTCCCAATAAATCTACTATCAGTAGCATAAATAATGTATTACCCTAAGCATATATTTGACAGAAAGATATAGAAATAATTATGAAATTTAATCTTCACTAAAAGAAACAGTAATGCACTCCTCACCGCTTCAATTTGTGATGACATTTCAGTTGAAAGCAAGGCAAAGTTAAACAACTGTTCATTTATCCAAACTCAGATATAGCAGGAAAAAGGACAAAAAGCCCCTGCACAAACACACAATTGCACAACTAGTTTGGAATTTTAGCAGACCACATAATTAATCTGCTTTTCTGGCATATCACTTCTCACACATTTCACTACTCTCCTCTGCAAGGATGTGCAGCTTAGGTTAATGTATGCATACAGCTCTTTTTGTTTTATCAGAATTACTCAAAAATATATGCGTGATCTGATCATAAACCCTTTTATTTAATACTGGATCCCTCTTAATTGGAGAACTGAACTGTATATAGTAGTTCAAAAAAAAAAAAAAGGTAAATGTGTAGGAATGGTTAGAAAATACAAAAAAAAAAAGCTGTTACCTGACAAAATTAATGCATTTTAGATGTGACTATTTAACTGCAAATGTAAGTGAGCTCCTTCCCAGAAGCGAATGCGTTACTTCTACCCAGCCTTTGTTTTGACAAAACATCAAGTCTTTAGAACATCTTAAAATTTAGGTTTAGGGTTTTTCTCCACCTCGATCAACAATTTTTAGAGAAAATACAGAAATCAGATGGGCTTCCAACTCATTACTTCTGAAAAAAATAGTAGTTCTAATTTTTACTGAAAACATTTATATTTCCCAGAAAAATTAAATATAACCAAGTATCTTTCTACAATGGGAAAAGTTTATATTGAATAATTTTACCTTCAGAGTTATGCGTAGTTTTCTTGTGTTTTCGACATAAAATCCTATAAACAAAGTAGTTGAAAACTGTCAAGTCAGTCAGGATTCACAGGTTATTTACTCATCTTTTAAATTTAAATGCCAGTACATTTTTCTCCCACTTGTAAGACTCACTGATATGCAAATCTTGCAGTGAAAATGTGCTTTTCTAGCACATCACTATAGTGAACGACAGGAGCATCATTAGAATTGTTTGCAATGTTTTTTTTTTTCTTTAGATTCCCAAGGTGTTTTTACAAAGAATGTGAAATATAAATACAAAAAGAAATATAAATAATAGTTACATGTAAATGCCTTGTGAGGGTTTCTCTCTTATCTGAGCTTTATCATGCAAAGCACAGTAGTAGTGATATGTCTTGTGACATGTTTTCACATCACAGCCAATGGTTGCTCCAGGACAATGGCACAGGGAGCACATCTGTGAAGAAAGAGAAAGCACAGTTCTTATTACTGCTGCTTTAACATTTCTGTATTTAAAAATAACATAGATACCACTCCTGGTATCAAAACTAATGGAGTTATGGGTGGGAATACTATTGCTCATATTGAGTAACATACTGTCTTTCTCCCACTCTTCCTGCTTTCCGGTGCTTTTCTTCATAAATTTTAAAAGCAAGGAGATGTTTGCTGCAATTATGCAACAGTACAATAATCACTGTACCTTAATTATCATTCAATGATGAAAGTAAGTAATTTACTTTTGTGGAATATGACATGCTTGAGGGAAGCAACATAGCTGTTCACCTAAATATCCTACCCCCAAGGACGGTCTCTTTGAGCCAGCCATTTCAGAAAAGTTGAAATCACAAACTGTACCTCGTTAATTCTGAATTGCATTATGAAGCTACGAGAGAAGAAGGACCTCCTCCTATTAGCAATGAACCTTGCAGAGTCAGAAATACTGACAATCTGCAAATCTATCTGAGCCTCAGCAGCTAACTTTCCCTCCCACATAACTGTTTCTTTAAATCATTTCCAAAGGACTGAATTCAGTGAAATATCTGTTAAATACAATGAATTTCTTTCAATTACATTAAATTTTGCTCTTCATACTTATATCGCAGAAAAGGTTAAATGGAATCTTGTCGCTCTACTCTTCTTTCCTAAGAACGAATCCTCCTCCTACTAGACTTGCCTTCTTATTTAGGATATACCAACTATAATGCTGCTAAACTGTTCACTGCCCTTCTCGCACTGTATTAGAAAAGGAAATACTGATATCACCATATTTTTCTCTACAGATATAATATTACCCCCAAATCTCAGCATTTCCCATCAAACTCCCCACCAAAGACTAGAGCTTCGTTTTTGTTTTTCCCTCCTGCCTTGAAAGATTACAATTCCAAACCCTTAAGCATAAATGTGCAATGCAAGATATTCCCTACATCTCTCTCTGTGAAATAAGTTTTCTGTCCATCACGTTATTTGACTCCCTAGCTTAGCCAAGTTCTTCTCATTAGTCTCAAATATCTCAAATAAATGTATCACTGAAGTTCTGCAGTACGGTATATGCGAAGTTTTACAAGGTGCAGAACAGATAAGATTCAAAACAAACAAACAAAAAAATCCATGCACAGCTAACAGAAATAACAATGATCTCAAGGCACTGTATTCCCAAACGTTTAAAATTAACAAGCTGTTGTTACTGGCCTATTAAAGTTTGAAACCACCAACTTTTCTCAGCCAGAAATTTACTACCATCAGAAATGTTCTACATATCAGCCATTATCACTTCGATGTACAGAATTTCAATTTTCAGTGCATACTTGGTTAGCAGCAGCACCTACTAAAGGAGAGAAGCTATGTAAAAATCTGTCAGCAGACAAATTTAGTACAACCTATCAGTGTAACTACTTAAGCTGGTACATAACACTGAAAGCTTTCTGAGCAGTGTGTTCCTACATAGGAGAACAAACCTAAATTAAGATCTAAAATTATCCTGTAAATTCCCTCTAAACAGGAAACATCTCAGGACCGCGAATCTATTGAATTGTTCAGCTTTCTGCACAAAACCTGGATCCAGTTAAAGCTAACAACTGCAGCTAGTGAGCTCCAAGAATATAACTCTCTGTGGCATCAGTGAAAGAACATAAAAAAGACTTAGAAACACAAAGAAATAAACCACCAATGACAAACTTTTTGATACTTGGGTCTCAAATGGTTTTTGAAGGTTATTTATTTTTATTTGCCAACTGTAGTTCTGTTCAGCACCATCCTCGTTGCAAGTTCCTAATCACAAAGTGAATGACGTGCAAACAGTTTTTTCTTTATGCTTCAGGTAATCAGAGCCGATCAAGATTCACGTATGGAAAAAGATTCAAACAAAATACTGTACGAAATACTGGACTATTACTACATAATTGTAGTTATATAACTATATTTAGCGCTACTCTTAGTCCAAGAGCCAGTAAACACTTAATACAGTCACTGCTGCTCAGTTCTCACAAATTTGGTGGAGCGGTAACTTCTATTGTACTCACGTACCTCATAAGAGGTCTGTATTAGCAGAGCCCTCTATTAAATCAATATAAAAGGAAGTAATAAAAGTATCTTTGGTAGTTAAAGCCAGAGTTTGACAGCAAAGCCAAATACTGGTAAAGGCACAATATTACCTTTGCTAGGTCCTAGAATGTGGGGTTCATTCTGAAATCTAGCAGAAAGTAGTAAACAGAAATGACCGGATTAGAAACATCTAGGTAATATTGGATTTTTTTTTTTATATGCAGTCCATCAAAAGGAATGACAGTTCAGTTTTCAACCAATTTTACTTCAACATCCACAAGTTCTCCGTTAGCTTAGAGCAAATGCAACACTTTTTTAAAAGACGACATGATTATACACTGAATGATTTCATAGTAAACTTCTTAGAAGAAAAGAAAGTATTGTCTTCCATTTTCAGGGGCCAAAAATAGAGACTTACCAGTTTAGTGCCTCTTTTTATCTCTTTCTGAATATCTTCAATAGAGAATCCACCAAGACTCTCATTATCAGTGTGCGAAGACACCAGTGCAGATGAAAACAGCTAAAACCATAAAAACAAAACTTATTTTAAGGGTGTAAGTAATAGAGAATACTTACATATTTGAAAACCAGAAACATTTCAAATAAGAGTGGTTAATCATTTGGGCCAACGTCACAACTGACTCAATTTTTCTTCTGGAAGTTCACTACAGCCATCTCCTTTTTCCTATGGGTTACTTACCATACATTTGTGATGTGCTGCCACCTTCTGGTTTTCTGACATCAATAATTGTCCACATTCATTATCTTTATTAGATCTACAAAAACCACACTTCCTTTGTCTTGAAGAGACTTTTTTCTGTCCAACTGAGCTTGTCATGATTTTAAGTGACCTCAGAACGCCACTTCAATCCTCTCAATGCTACAGAAACAAAAGGTGCAATCAACATGTTAACATCAACAAAAGGCAATTTAATTTACAGTTTTATAAATACAATATAGGTTACTTGAAAATGATCTCTCCCTCGTTATCTTTCTGTTTACACTACTACAATACACCCAAATAACCATGCACCCAGCAGAGGCAGTATCTTCACCAATCTTAATGAAATTGTATCAGCAAGCAGTATTAGCCTTTTAGGCAAAAAGTTTAAACGCTAATATAAAACTTAGAGAGGGGAACAGGAAGAATTACATGGAAAATATAGTAAGTACAGCAATCATTAGGACTCTGGGGGAAAATCTTACAGCACTGCTCTCATCCCATTGCTATAATAAATAATTATAGCAAAGCAACGTGTAGAAATTGCATGCAATACGTCGGCATGCAGTAAAATCCAAGCTACTGAACTTCTTCAAAACCAAAACCAAAGAAGAACCCAAGAGTCCAGCTTAGCATCCAGAATAAATTTTGCATTCAAAAGTTCATAAAGTAATACTGCAGATGAGTAACTACCCTTATGAGATGAAAAGATAAAACGTTACCATTTTAGGTATGACATAGATATGCCGTGGCTAGTCAAACACCGTTATGAACAAAATTTTAGAAGGATCTATGACTAACATGAAAAGGTTTCCATTGCAGCAAGACCTATAGCTGATTTAACAATATCATACCAGTAGTAAGTATCTGAGAGCTGCTATTCTCATCTAAGAGAATTAATATTAAACTCAAAACGAATCACATACTTTTTAACAGGTTATCAGTAACACATTTCAAAATGTAACACCGAGGTCCCTAACCCAGTAATAAGACAGACACACTGGAAGTTCAAAGATTAAAATACCTAGCAAGCGTACATACTTCTTGGAGCAATATTGAGTAGTTTGTGTGTATTTGTTCCTACAGCTCTCAAAAAACGCTACACAAGCATAACCTAGTCTATATAACAAATACGGCCTTCTTCAAACAGATCTGTTTACAGCTTTTTACTTTAGAGATTTGAGCCTTACTGTCACTCAGAACTGACCTCAGCTGCAATAAAAATAGCCTCCTCTACCTTTGTGTACAGTAGACTCTCATCTAAATTAGAAAAGCCTCCGTAAAGTTTGATATTTCTTTTGAAAAGCAGAGGTGCACTACATCTGGGCTGCATTACAACGGCTATCCGCGTGAAAATGCATGACCATTTTTTGAAGTTTGCCAAGTCAAACCTGCCTGCCTCTAAGCACAGTCAGATTCTCAAAGTACTAATATCACTATTTTTATAACAGAAAGCAGAGTAACGTTAAGCTTCTGCTGACACATGCTTTCATTAGCAACCATCCTTTTAAATTCTCACTACTGTTTTCATAGATTTTCACAGACTGAATTTTTAAGTGTTTGTCTTGCCATATTAACTACAAAATTCATACATCAAAAGGTGTCTGTCCTATATCTATTGCCTTTGCTTTATCAACAGCTTCATTCACTTTCTTTTGTCAACTCAAAGCAATTTACTAGCTGATGACGCATACTCATAAGAAGAATGCATAGATTTCAGATCTTGCTGATTTGCACAAAAAATGTGCCAATCTGGATAAACTAGTCACACCCTTTTGCAGTGGCAATAGAGAGTCCTTAAGTATTAAACACAAAAGAATTACTCTACTGTATTCTTCTAAAGAAGAAACAAAATAAGACAACTCTGTAATCCCTTTTTGAGTAAAAGGAAGGAATGATTTTAGAAGGAAGGAAACAGAATTTCCAATGTTCATTTTTAAAAACTTAAAAAAAAAAATTGGAAATAAGAAAAAGATCTATAAAAGAACAGTAGGAAAGAACATCAAAAAAAGATTTCTTGTTTTCAGATATTCAATAGCATAAATCACAACAACATAAATCACACAGTGATGGGTTAGAAATACATTAACACATGATTTAAAATTCAGTAAGATCTGTGATATAAATAGTGTGATACATACACATATACACACACTCCCTCACTCATTTAGGTCCACCTGTATTAACAGTGCATTCCTTCCATAAACTATTTCTGTTTTACAGTCAGATTATATTATCACTAACTATTTTGACAGCAATTATAATAGCTCTTAAAGGGAAGATTAGGGATTTCCTTGAACATATATGCACAGCTTCTACTAACTTAATAGGAACCTTTTCCCATAATAAGAATTACTGGATGTGGCTGTTCCAGACTTTTGTGGCTACTATAAAGATAGCTATCCTTCAATTTAACTAGCAAATTCGTATTTTATAAAATGTAAATAATTTATAAAACACATAACATTTAAGAAGTTCCTCACTGCATCTTTAAATTATAAAAATAGTAACTTTGCAAGAAACAAGATTGTAAAGGATCTTATCATAGTTGACTGCAGTCAACTGCCTTCAGCCTCATGCCTTACAGTGCACTTGAATAGACACATGAGAAAGTACATCGTTATAGCAATACCTGAACCTGACATAACCTCACTTCTTGAAGTACTTTTGCACAATTAGATTTTTTTAAGGCTCATATTAGAGTTAAAAATAATGCTAGTATTTACTTGATGATGGATGGATGTTGATGTTATAATGAAAAAATGAAATTAGCAAAAATTGTTTTGAAAGAATTATTCAGTTATAAATAATTTAGCATTTGAAAAATATTCAAAATATAAACAGATCAAAACCCACTAAAGTAGGCCAGAAAGGAAACACACATTCTTCTCAGTACGTTATTTACTCTGAAAGCATTTTAAAAGGATATCTAAAAGTTTTCTTTCCAATACTGTTCTTTGCATTTATCTTTTCTGTATTACGAGGTATTAACACTATTTGTACATTTCTAAAGATTGCAACAAAAATTAAGTATCAGAAAACATTTCAGAAGCATTTTATTCATAGACCTATCTCTAAACTGTTTGTTTTCTCATAAATGTCAGAAAGCACTGTTCTGACATAACTGGGATCACCTTTCTTTGTGCTGAAATGCATGTTTTACCCTGTCCCTTTAAAAATACCTGTTTTCCGAGAAAGATGAACGAAGGTACGCAGCTGTATCACAGACCCAGAACTGTGACTGCAAACGCTCAAAATCTTGTTTTCATCTCTAGAGTAAAATAATCTAAGAGCAACTAATCCAGTTTGCTAAGTATCAAGCTACATTTCACAGGAACGAGGAAAATAGTGCAACTTAAAAACAAGTTAATATTTCTGTTTTCCGTGTTTAAAAAGATAATCAATAAGTGAGATTTTTAAAACAGTATTTAAATACACTCTTGGCAGAAATTTTGCATATCAGCTTCGTGAGAAAAAAGTTTTGTAGACTGGTTCACTGAAACGGAGGTACTATGGAATCACTCACTAGAAAGCTTAGGCATTATCTCTACCAAAATTAAACGTGTGCTACAAAACAGGTATCTTAATACATCTAAATACATCTTCCATGTGCATGGTCTAGAAACGAGAGGTTACCTCTATCCTAAAATAAGAGAAGAAGATACTCAATTAGTGATTTTTCACTCAAAATGTTTGGTTCATTTGCATTTATATTTCTTAACGTCCACTAAAGGTATTCAATACGGTGCTTTTCCTAATAACGCCTTTATTTTACCTTAAAAGAAGTATGTTTTACTGTACTTACATTTATTTTACTGTATATTGGTTTTACTGAGTACTAGGCAACAAATTTTAGAAGTACAAAGGAAAAGCGCAAGTGCAAGAATCTCAGGCAAAGAAGGACGCTTCTTAGTATAAGAGACATTGTTCAGCACCAAGGAAGGGAAAGTAACCTGGATTCTAATTTCTGTTTATCACTTGAATATGTTTCAAGAGCTACAGTTTGTTTATAGAAGTCAAGCCCAAGTTTGTACTTCCAACAAAGGACAGTGTTCTAAATGCTATACTTTCTGACTTAAGGTTTCTTTTGATGTGTGGCCTATATGACTACAGAATTATATTTAAAAAATTTAGGATTTAAATTTTCATGTCAAGAAAATCTCAGACATCCAAATAAAACCCCCAAGAGAAATATACAAACTTACAAAAAAACAAAAAGACAAGCACAAAGTGGTTTGGACACTGACAGGAAAACCTACAGAAAATACTTACAGAGATATTTTTCAAGATGACTAGAGATTGCAGATTCCCAGTTCAAGAAACTTACAAGTGCTTTATACTCCCTAGGGTCTATCACCTATTTTTGTGGACGTTATTTTGGGGTAGAGGGGTGAGGCTAGGGAAAAGGAACCGAGATCATGGAGATGTCTGTAGCTGAGAAGCCAAAGTGACAAGTCCCACGGAAATCTTAGCCAAGAGTCACTTTCAGTATCCTAAAGTCACTATAAAAGCGGGATGGGGGGGGTTTCCATACAACTTCCCTGGAAAAAGGGAACCAAAGGGGGTGGGGGTTGAAACAACCCTGGAAAGTCTAAACAATAGAGTAGGTAACTGAAAATTACACAAAAACAGCCTGAGGTTAGGAAGATCTCGCAGACGGCACAGACCGATCTTCAAGAAAGTTTACCTACTCCCACGGGGAGCGAGAGATGATCCGATAAAGGCATCTGCGATGCTCACCTCCCCGGGGTGGGGGGGGATCAATGAGGCACGGCGCCGCTTTGGGGAGAG